ACTTTCTCACGTGGAGATAGACTGATGCCAAATGAGGTCTGCAGAGGCCTCATCTTGGCTTCTCTGGTCACTGTGTTGAATATAATTTCACGCACACTGAAGATAGTCCATTAGTTCTTGGCAAGGAAAATTAAGTTTTCAAAGTTGCTCTCTCTAACAAGCCTCCCCTTTCTCATACACAAAACCTTATTGAAAGCAAGACTCTCTCCCCAGTTCATGGAGAGGAGGAGCAGTCTCCACCTGAAATTGCCCTGCTGTAGTTCTGAGGATCATCACCACCGGGATGCCCCTGGACTCTGATTTGATTTGGATCATTCATTAAGTTCCAGTTCACAACCCAAAGTAAAGTCTCTCTCCCTTCCAGGAGGGAAGCATTTTTATTTCAAAATCATATAGTAAGGGTTTTGAAAAGTAATTTGCAAATTTCTTTGCCTCTGGGGTAGACATGCCCATTCATGCTTCCCTAAGGCCTTACATGTTTACATTTACCAATCTTCTGAGCTCTCACCATGCAGTTAAAAAGGAAACAGAGATTTTTGCTCCTATTCCCTACAAAATAATGTGAGTTGAATCAGATTCTCCCTGAATTATATAGTCCATTGGGCGTGGTCTCTTTGACCTAAATGTTACTCTTCAAGCAAAGCTTTGTTCACAAAGAGAAGTGAACTCTGTACACTAGGTGTTAAGGTGCAAAGGATCAATATTTACCAGCAACCAGCATTTTGGAACTTGGTTACTATGGAAACATTGTCAGCTCCAAATGACTGTCATGAGGTGAAAAATATTCTTAAAATAAATGAAACCAGAAAAGGTATATTTATAAACCTCTTGCCAAACACCTATCTGTTCACAAAGTAGAACATGTTTTTCAAGCTCTAAATATTCAAAAGATTGGGACAAGTTTCATGACATAGGATTTTTCTTGAATTAAAAGATTTGCTATGTACCTCCCACCATAATGCCAGTCACCATGTTGTAATGACCTTCATCAAAGTTCAGTCACAGGGGGCTGCCACTTCTTGGACTCTGAGCTAAATATACCTCAACTCTTTATAAAGACTAAAAAAAAAATATATTGCTATTCTCCCCACCACCCCCCAAATGGTCTGTACAAATAACTAATAAAAAATTTTTTTAAAGGGAGGGAATTCTGTGATGTTAAAATTCTGCACTAAATTATCAATCGCTTATTTGAAATTAGTAAAATGCTACTTGACCAGAACTATTAGCCTGAATTTTATTACTTCTTAGTTGCACAGATTATTTATAGAAGGATCAAATAAATAAGTGCTATGAAATATTTTTTTGCACTATGGGGAAAAGATGTTTGCCATACATTAGATTGAAAAAAAAAAAAACTTGAAACAGTATTTGCTTTGCTTTGTGAAGCTCTATTCTCTCTTACCATCTTACTAATAGAATCACAAATTAATTTAGGGCGCAGCAATTTACCTAAAAATACTCGACTTCATAACTTCCCTTGCAGCTAGAGGTGGCCATATAATATAGAACCTGCCAATAATACATAGAAGTCCCTGGGAAGGATAGTGTTGGGAGACAATTCTCCATGCTCATTTACATTTCTGTACAAATAGAGGCACTTTTATCTGACTGTCTTTGTAAGGATATTTATACAGGATACAGCCTTGGAAGAGAGAGACATTCTCTCTTCAGAACAAAGGGAAGCTTGCTTTGAACCTTGGAACTCAGAAATAACAATTATCCTCCAGAGTACAGGGAAGGTCTGTCTGCTGCCTGCTATATAAGAATTGGAGTCCAGAAGCTTGGGGTTCCTCTCCTATGAAGGAGCCCCTGCAGATGCAGGCATTTCTGAGGGCCTATCTATATTGCCCCTGCAGGACTTCAGGGCAAGGATAACTATCTCACTTAAGTTGCTTACTGTGTTATGACTGATAAAGTCCAAAGTCTGTGACTCAGAAGCTCATGCCTTTGGCCAGCATCCATGAAGCTGTGGCGGGCTAACAAGAAAAAAAAAGTCTCAGCCCCTTCACAGTTCTTTATAGGACGTTCCTTCTAGAATAATTATACATACACCCTTTTGCCCTTTTCCCTTCTTTCTCCCTTCATGTACAGCAACCACATTGGGACCCTGAAGGACAGAATGAGGACAAAAGCCTAGATACTTAGGATTCGGGCAGATAAAGAAACTGCTCTCGCCCAGATTGCATCATTTCCGGCCTCTTGTCATGTGAGATAAATGAGCTCCAACTTATTCAAATTGATGTTAGTTTTTTTCCAATGAGATTCATCCCTAGAGTTTGTCAAATGTAGTAACATAGTTACTATGTAATGGTAATCGTGTCAAACCTACCCAACTTAAGGCTAATATGTTGCTACCTTCTTTAGTTCTTGGTCTTGATTTTATCTTTCTGTGTGTTCACTTTGTTGAATGTATCCCTTGTAAACTAATTCAAATCCTTTTGGGGAAGATAGAGGATAAAAATCAATTCTGTAAGCACAATTTAGCCTTTGGCCAAATTTGTCCATGAACTCTTAAAAGTTATCCCTTAAACATTAGTCAAAGGGCTGGGGGAGTAGCTCAGTGGTAGAGCTCTTGCCTGCATTTGTGTGAGGCCCTGGGTGTGATCCCAGTATGGAAAATATATATATATATATGTTAGACAAACCAACAATCAGAATGGTACCCTCCCATCTCTGCAAACTTCTACCCCAGATCGTGGAATTTCTTTTAGTTACCTATATGTATCCAGCACCCAGAGCAAGGGCTGGCTCACGGAAGGCCCTCAAATATTTAGTGACCAAGTTTCCTGAAAGATACTGGTTATGCCCTAAAAAAGTTAAGATTTAACAGAGAAGATTTTAGTATACTTGGTCTGTCATTTGACTATGATAAGTATCTTGAAAAAAGACCACAGTTCAATAACTTCTTATCTTTGCTCCTAATGAGTACAAAATGCTGCATGACTTAAAAAATGAAATCAAAAGAACCATTTCAATCTCATAAGTTGGTTCAATAGGATAACAGAAGTAATGACAATTATAATTTTAAAAATCTTAAAATGCTAAAACAAAAATTATTTTTAGAACAATTGATAAACTTTGAAACTTATAACTGGAAGAAAAATTAACTAATACATAAATCGAGGATATGAGAGGGTAATTTATATCTGTATGCCAAAAATAAGAGAAAAAAATATAAGAAGACTTCCCTAAGTAAAGTTGTCTTTTGAAATTAAAACAGAAGAGGAGGGCTGGGGATGTGGCTCAAGCGGTAGCGCGCTCGCCTGGCATGCGTGCAGCCTGGGTTTGATCCTAAGCACCACATACAAACAAAGATGTTGTGAACAAACATGTTGTGTCCGCCGAAAACTAAAAAATAAATATTAAAAAATTTAAAAAATAAATAAAAATAAAACAGAAGAGGAAAAAGCTGATGAAGAAGACAAGTACACAACAAGAATTAGAAGCATCTTAGTAAATTTTCAGTACATGTTATGATTTCTAATTATGTTGCAAAATCTAACCCACATGAAATCACTTGTAAAAAATATATGTCTTTATATGATTTCTGGTTACAAATCTATCAAACCACGATGAGACAGCTTTTCACATCCATTAGGATATTTTGTTTCCTTAATGAAAAATAACAAGTATTGGCAGGAATATGAAGATACTGGGAATCCTCAGGTTTTGATGGTGGCAAGGTAAAGTAGTACAGTCATTGTCAAAAACATTTTGTGGTATAGTATATATAGTTTCAATGGAATATTATTCAGCTTTAAAGAAGAATGAAATTATGGCATTTGGATGGAATTGGAGAATATCATGCTAAACAACAACAACAACAACAACAAAAAGCTAATCCCCCAAACCAAAGGCCAAATGTTTTCTCTAATATGCAGATGCTAATTCACAATAAGAGGGGAGTGGCACTAATGAAGAAAAGAGTTATCTTAGATTAGGTTAGGGAAATGAAGGGAGGGGAGAGGAGGGGATATGGTTTTAGGAAGTATAGTAGAACAAAACAGACATTATTGCTTTATGTATATATGTGACTGCATGACCAATGTGATTCTACAACATGTACACTCAGAAAAATGAGAAATTGTATCCCATCTATATATGATATGTCAAAGTGCATAAATGCAGTCTATTGTCATGTATAACTAATTAAAATAAATTTAAAAATTAAAAAAAAAAAACCAGTTTGTCATTCTGGAAAGTTAAACAGAATCATCGTATAAATGCACCCATTCACTCCAAGGTATATAGTGAAAAGAATTGTAAAGAAGGACTCAAAAAAAAAGTTAGTGTTCACCATGTTCATAGCAGCATTATCTTCAACAGTCATAGATAGAAACAATCCAACTGTCCATCAAAGGTTGAATGGATAAATAAAATGTGGCACATACAGACAACGGAATGACTCAGCCATTAGAATGAATGGTATTCTGATACTTGCTACTACATAGATGAACCTTGAAATCATGATGGTAAGTGAAGTGAGCCAGGTACACAAGGACAAATAGCAAGTAGTATATGATTCTATTGAGATATGTGGAATAGGCAAATTCGTGCAAACAGAAAAGTGGCATGGCAGTAACAGAGGCTGTATGATGAATGAGAAGAGAGTCACTGTTTGTGTTTGAGATAATAAAAAATCCTAGAGAGAGTGATGACTGCACACATGGTCAGTGTACTTAATGCCATTGAACTTCACAATTCAAATGGTTAGAATGGCTGAGTGTGGTGGTGCCTATAATCTCAGTGGCTCAGGAGCCTGAGGCAAGAGGATCACAAGTTCAAAGGCAGCTTTAGCAACTTAGCAAGGCCCTGAACAACTTAGTGGGAACTTGTCTTAAATAAAAATTTTTTAAATAAAAAAAGGTGGGGGAGGGGCATCTGGGATGTGTCTCTGTAGTTAAGTGCCCCTAGGTTCATCCCTGATACAAAAAAAAAAAAAAAAAAAAAAGCCATTTTTATGTTATGGATATTTTTTCACATTAAGAAAATTCATGAAGCAAATATAAAAAAATCCCCCAAAGTGGGTTTTTGTTTGTTTGTGCTGGAAAGAGAAAATAGAACAGATTTTAAAATTTTGTTTGTTTCTTTCTGTCCTTGCTTTCTTGAAACCCTGCCTGCCCATGCTGTGAGGCAGAGTGACAAGGACACCCCCACGACATTCATTGCTGCGGCTTTTCCGGCTGTGAATTTGAGTGGTCATGTGCCTCAGGAGATTCTGCATCATCTGGAAAGATTTCTAGCTTGGCAATTTTATTCTAATTTTTCAGCTTTCAAGAGTATGTATCAATGGAGCTTTCCCCAGCGCCCTAAGTATATGTTAGGCCAGAATTCGCTTATGAAAATATTATTTTAGAATTCCTTCCACTTCTATCATCTGTTTGTTTTCCTTTCTGCATATTTCATAATGAAGCACAGAGATTTCTGAATCAGCAGTTACAGTAGTGTGTGCATTAGCTATCACTTCTTTATGACCTACTTTATACACAATTACAAACTCTGGTGAAAGTTCAGGTTTCAATTTGTTTTTGTTTTTTTTTTTAATTTTTTTTTTCCTGAGACTAACATACATGTCTAAGGAAAAAAAAAGGAAAAGAAAAGACGGACCAAATTTCTCCTGGTAACCAGGGTGGGCATCCTGGATCAGCCCTGAGGCTCCCCACCTCCTTTGTCTCCTGAAAAGGCTCAAGGCTCTCAAATTATACCCTCTTAGTTACTTCAATCCCACGTTTTTCCCCATCCTTCTGTCATTCATTTCCTAAGAAATACCTCTGTGCATTCAACAAACACTTCTGGCGGTTGCTCACCACCCCCCGTGCCACGCTGCAGGAACACAAAGCTCAGGGAGACGAGGTCCCTGTTCTTAGGAGACACACACACCAGGGAAGTTCCCCTCCCACTTTTGTGTGCAGCAAGAGAATCTGGACCTAGGAATCCAGTTCAGTCAGTCTGCATTCCTAATGTCCCCTCTGAGGGGGACCCCCAGACCACACTGGAGAAACAGTGTGACTTGAGGACAGGCAGGGGTCTATTCCCCAGAAGGAGCCTCAGAGCACTGGGAGAGCACAGGGAAGGGGAGACAAGAATGCCTGAGAGATGAGGGAAGGCTTCATGGAAGAGGACAATGGGCAGTGGAAAGGCACAGCTGGCAATGTCGCCTCAGAATGTGATGGCAAGAATTTGGGTTCATGGGCTGGGGAGGTGGCTCAAGCGATAGCGCGCTCGCCTGGCATGTGTGTGGCCCGGGTTTGATCCTCAGCACCACATACAAACAAAGATGTTGTGTCTGCCTAGAACTAAAAAATAAATATTAAAAAATTCTCTCTCTCTCTCTCTCTCTCTCTTTCTCTCTTAAAAAAAAAAAAATAAGAATTTGGGTTCATGTTCCTCCCAGCCACAGCCTCTGAAGCATTTATGGGACAGGAGACTCTGGTGCAAGGGGGAAGGAACGCTCATCTCCAAGAGGATCCAGATGGATGAAGCAGACTCACCACTAGCCTTAACCTCTGGCCTTGGGTAATGGATGGTGTTACCTGCTTTTCAGGGTTGGGGTAAGAATTAGAGTTGGAGTAAGAATAAAGTGAGCCAATGTGTGGAAAACCCTTGGTGCACAATTAACATAATGTCTACTGCTATTTTTATTATTCTAGATTTCTCTCTGGATAGATTCCTAGAAGTGGGGTTACAAGGAATCTTACATGTGTTATTAAGTGGTACAAAAAGAAGTGTGTGTGTGACCGGCTGAGGCAGGAGGATGGAAAGTTCGAAGCTAACCTGGGCAAACTTAAAAACACCCTATCTCCAAATAACATTAAAAGGAGCTGGGGATGTTGTCGATCAGAGACAGAGTGCTTGCCTAGCATGTGTGAGGCTTAGGGTTCAGTCCCCAGTACCACAAAGAAGAAAGAAGGAGGAGGAGGGAGAGAAGGAGGGGAGGAGGTGGTGGTGGGTGTCCTGTTTATGCAATTTTCTTTTAAGTTTCACAAAAGTGGCTCAGTTTGACTACTGGAGATAAAGCTATTCATTTTTATCTATGTGCTGGGTACCTGGACATATGACAAAGTACTGGCAGTGGTCATGTCTGGATGGGAGGGACAATGGGTGTTTTCTGTGTTCTTTTTGCTGAATTGATAAATAGTAGCTATTATCTTCCTACTACTACTATTATTCTTCTCTTCCTCTTCCTCCTCTTCCTCTTCCTTTTTCTCTGCCTTATCTTTTCTTCTTCTCCCATTGGAGAGAGAGGCAGAGAGAGGGGGGAGAGAGAGAGAGAGAGAGAGAGAGAGAGAGAGAGAGAGAGAGAGAGAGAGAGAGAGAAAGTGAGCTTATTCCAAATCCTGGAAATTCCTTTAACATTTCTCCCATAGAAGACCCTGTTACAATGCAAATGTTTCCTGAGAAATACAACTCCTGGACCTTGCTACACAACCCCCTCCCCAGTTATTGATCCAACTGTCGGGCTCTTGACACCTGGCCCACAGTAAAGACAGATGGAAGGTCTGGGGCAGAGATATCATCCCAGAAAGGCAAGCCCAGAGTCAGAGCGGTGGCAGTGGGGGCCCTGAGAGCTAGAAGGCCCATCAAGAGACACAGGAGGCTCACAAAACCCAAAGCAGTGGGCAGATTGCCAGAGGAGCCCGTGAAAGGCAACAGCTGCCCTGCTGTCTGACCTGGCTTGTGTTCAATGGCAAGAGAAAGAGGAATGAGCCAGTGGCCTTCTGAGGTTTCTGTGAAAGCCCAGTTATTGGGTGGAAAGAAAGATCCTAAGGCTGCAGATTGCCTACCAGTGTATGCCAATTCTCCTTGGCATGCACTTTATACCAGAAGGTTACAGTTTATGCTGAAGAGTTCCAAAGTGCTGGTAAGTGAGTCACTCTGGAAGCAACTCTAAGATCTCGGAGTAGATGCTACAACAGTTTGGAATGTTTCATTAAAATATTTTCTATATGAAAACTTTCCTTTCTTGACTATCTTATTACATAGCTATATTACTACAGGCTTCTTTTTAGACAAAACGAAATACTCTAACATTTTCCTACCATAATTGAAATTTTTTAGAGAAATATTTTGAGAGATTTATATTTCTGAAATACAACGGTGTTGCTTTTGATTCCCCCAATTCCCTTAATTCTATTATGGGGCAGAAAAACTTTTTTTCCCAAGGGTTCAAAGAAGCCTCTGAATAACAGAGAATCTAAAAACCACATTAGAATTGTGCTCCTTTTGTGTACAAGGAATTGAAAAGCTTTCTGCTATCATTTATAACTGATTAGAACTAATAAAAATTTTTTAAAAATCCAAATTTCAAGAAACTGAGAGGTTTATGGCTCAAAGAGACAGAGTCTGGATAGAAGGGAGGATGCTCGGGTTGTCAATATGGACAAAGGCTGACAGTCTTACATTTATTATAACAAAGAAAGGGAGGTGAGGGACCAAAGAGAAGTCTACAAACCCTCCTAGATACTTCTTCTATCCTCACTGTCAACCAGAACTACTCCTGTGGGCTTCTACATGTTCCTATTATAGCAAACAAATCCAACCATGCTGGAAATAATGTTATATCCCTTCTTCAAAAGAGGAAGGGAGTAGGGCTGGGGTTGTAGCTCAGTGGTGGAGCGCTTGCCTAGCATGTGTGAGGCAATTGAACTGGATTCGATTCTCAGCATCACATATAAATAAATTTTTTAAAAATAAAGTTCTATCAATAATATATATATATATAGAGAGAGAGAGAGATATAGATATAGATATATTTTTTTAAAGAGGAAGGGAGTATTGGGAGAAAGATATGAACAGAGTGCAAGCTACTCAGAGCTGCAAGGTTTCCAAAGAGCCCAGTGTTCAGAAGCCCCCATGCAAGGCACTGTGGAGATGCTACCAGAATGTGCAGGGGAAAGATAATGGGCTCAGGAAGGCCTGGGGCAAACAGAAGCATGAGTGCCCAGCAGCAGAGGAAGCATATTGAAACCCCCTTGGAGGGCTGCACCTTACCCTCATCCCTCTCCTTGTCTTTTTCCACAGAGCTTCAGAGCAGAAAGTTGTCCTCTGATCCAGGAAAGAAACCCAGCCAACACTTTAGAGCAGAGTTCCAGATCTGGCTCTGACCTTGAGGGTAAAGGCCCTGGGAGTTGATGAACATCTGTTTCCTGAGCCAGGACCTCAATCTAGATCTGGTTAGGGTGATGGAGCCTTCCTCTCTGCCCCCTTCATATTTCTGGAGAAGAAGGAAAGCAAGTCTGCAAGAAACAATTCTGAACAGCAAACAGAGCCAAATGGAAAGAGCAGGGAGACACCAAACAGGGAATGAAAGGTTTCCCTGTATCAGATGGGGTTGCTTTCAGTTGGCTACAATAGAAATCCAACTTCAATGGTTAATAAAACGAAGGGTTACTTTTTTCACATAACAAATCTGAAGTAAGGGCTTCCAAGGAGGTACAGTGGCTTTACAATGTCTGCAATATCTTAGTTTCCCTCTGTGTGTGGGGCTACCTCTGAGCTATTTGCATAGACTCTACTCGGCCTTGAAGCCAAGGAGATTTTGTTCTGGCATTGCAAGTCATTTTGTGGCTTATTACGCAAAGCACATGACCTCAGCTATAGAGGCTTCACTCAGCTATAGAGAGGCTGCTCTGTAGCTCTGCAGTTGGTCATTATCCCTTGGGCTTGGACAGCCCACTTCTTGCCTAATTTGATGAAGAATATTCTATGGAAAAGCCTTTGTGTATCCCCATATAAAAATAAAAAACATGGGCTTACTCTCTTTTTCCAGTGTGGAAGAAGAACCCTTAAGGTCGCAGACTTTTCCACCCTCGCATTTCAAAATTATCTCTGGATCCTGTGATTTTTCATCGTATTTCACAACCAGCTCACTACATGCTGGGGATCACAGTTTATCTTGCCTGAGCTGGACGCAGGCGAGACCTCTGTCTTCCTACTCTATCACACTCAGAATGTGGCTTTCCTTTTTGTGGTGGCCTCAAGGCCACAGCATGGCTACTTTGCCCCTGGCCTTATACCCACATTCCTTCCAGGCAGGAAGAAGGAACAAGGAGAGATGGCATCCGTATTTGGAAAGCAACAGTTTTCCAGAAATCCCCCAAAGACTTTCAAGTTTCATTAGCCAGAACCATATCACAAGGACATTCACAGCAGAAGCAGATCCTGGGCTTTGAACTAGAGGCTGTAACTCCCTGGGGATGTCACCCCATAGGGAACAAGGAAAGAATAGATAGTAACTGGTAGTATCTGCCTCATTCTCCACCTATAAAATGGGGTTATAAACTACCTTGAAGAGTTGACAAAATTAAGAGAGAATATAGCTGGTCTTGGTGACACACTGCTATAATCCCAGTGAATTGGGAGGCGGAGGCAGGAGGATTATAAATGTGAGGTCAGCCTCAGTAGTTTATCAAGGCCCTAAATCCTAAACAACTTAGAGAGACTCTGACTCAGAATAAAAAATAAGAAGGGCTGGAGATGTGGTTCAGTGTCAAAACACCCCTGGGTTAAATCTCTAGTATGAGAGAGAGAGAGAGAGAGAGAGAGAGAGAGAGAGAAAAGGTAAGCAAATATTGTACTCAGTACCAAAGACATGGTAAGTATTCAGTAAAAGTAATTATATTCTTGCATTTCCAGATGTGGCATTTAATTCAAACATCCAAGAGTTTTCCCTGAAGGGGCAGAAAATTCATTGGTAAAGACACTTGACCCACTCTGTCTGCAATTCTTCTGCAATGAATTGACTCCTGGATTAATGGCTCTTTTCTCAAAAGTCTATTCAATGTTAATAAATCCTAACTGGATTATCATTATGACTCTTCACTTATAATGTGTGACACAGAAAAACAAATCTTGGAGAGACACAAAAGGCAAATGAGCTGTTTTCATTGCTTCGTGGCTACAGCCCTGCATATTTCATTTCTGATTCATGGAAAAAAGTATTCAGCACATAGCAGTCAGCAAAATCATGAAACACCTCAGACCAGGGAGTGAAGTCCCAGTGTCTTAGTCACTTGGGCCTAGAAGGCTGACTTGGAAAGTGCTAAGAGCAGGAAAACTTTGACTTGCTTTGAGGATCTGCAGCCCCTCTAACCCACTACAGCCTTGTTTATTTTCACAGCATATTTTTGAAGCTTTTTGTAATGATTAGGTTTCCCCCACCCCCACCCCACCCCTCCCCTTGCAAAGGAAAAGCACAAACATAGCACAAAATGACTTATTTAAAAAGTTTTTATAGGGCTGGTGTTGTGGCTCAGTGGTAGAGCGCTTGCCTAGCATGTATGAGGCACTGGGTTGGATTCTCAGCACCACATATAAATAAATAAAGGTCCATTGACAACTAAAAATATATGTGTACTATAAAATAAAGTAATTTATTGGCTTGAGTGACTAAAATGTCCAAGAGTAGAGTTTTAGGCATGACTGGATCCAGGTGCTCAAATGAAGAATTAAGGAATCTTTCTATCCCTCTGGTTCTCCCTCTGTGGTGACAAAACAGGCCCCTCGAAATTTTGAAAAACCAGCCTCTACCTCAGAGCAAAGCCTGTCCAAGGAAGGGACATCACCTTTGTCCTTGGAAAGACCCACAGAGCACTCCTAGGCACATTCCCACCTTGCTAAGTGGTTTATCTACAAATAACAGGAGAGATCTGCTGCGCCAGGTGTCCCTGACTCAGTCAGACTAGGTGGGGACCCATAGCAGCCCCCTAGCAGCCACCAATCAGCATGAGACAGGGAAATACCTGGGATGCCAGATGACCCTCCCAGGAGTTTATGGTGTTGGGAAACCATGTAGTTCAGCACGTACACCCCTCTTGGCTTAAACCAATCAGTTCAAATAAATCCCCCTCTTGTAGTAACCAATCACCCCTACCCAACTTGTTCCCACCAGTGAATGTGCTAATCATGTTTTAGAGTTGTTATTTGATTTTCCCGCGGTGTGTGATGATTTTCTAAGAGATGCTATGATGTACGTGAAGTCCCTGCCTTCCCCAAAGAGTGTATAAAACTGCTGCAAACCCTGGGCTTGGGGCCTCTCAGCATCACCAGTTGCTGTGTGTGCGTGCATAATAAACACCTCTTTGCTGTTTATATTGATTTTGGTCTCTGGTGGTCTTTTGGGGGTCCCGAATTCGAGCATAACAATTTCTGAATGACAACCTACCAGCATGGGAACCCCAACAGAAAGAGAAGGACTTTTTCCCCAATAGTTTCAGCAAAAGCTCCAGGACAAGCCCAACTTGGATCACATGCCCCCTCCTGGACCCATTACTGTGCTAAAGGGAATGTGGTTCTGGGTCTCGTGTCTCCTGTGGAGCCAGGGGTGAGACCAGACTCTCTCAAACCACTTAGGTTAGGTGTGAGAGAAAGGGGGGTCCTCCAAAGGACATCTGGTTCTCCTGCCAGCTGAAGATTTGTGCCTCCAGATTACAAACGCTCCAGGACCTTATTAGATATAGATGTTATTGAACATTAGTACCATAGTAAGACTAGTGACACCCGTTTCCATCTGTCAGTATAATACTCGTTTTTTCAGACTCATTTCAAATGTCACCACAAACAAATCTCCCTAATGAGATTAGTTTTCCATCAGCACGTTGTCTATTTTTCTCTTGGGGCATTTATTATAACTTGTGATGCTGTAGGATGAGACACCCCCACTCCACCCCACCCCACCCCACCCCCACTCCCACCATTGGTCTCACTCTGATTTGGAGGGAACTTCTGGCAGAGCCAAAGCTGAGAATGCCTCCTATTTATCACCAACAGCCTGAGGATGAAGGCTGCTGGCTGCTTGTCCTGATGTGACCAAGCCTCAGAATGAAAAGAATGCAGAATGACGAGGAGGGCAATAACATGGCTCCCTCCAGGAAGTGAACCCATCCATGGTGCAAAACTGGGCTTTAGAAGGCAGGCTGGCAGCTGGGCCCAGTGGTGCACGCCTATAATCCCAGCAGCTTGGACGCTGAGACTGGAGGATCGCCAGTTCAAAGCCAGCCTTAGTAATAGCAAGGTGCTAAGCAACTCAGTGAGACCCCATCTCTAATAAAATACAAAATTGGTCTGGGGATGTGGCTCAGTGGTTGAGTGCCCCTGAGTTCAATTCCTGGTACCCACCCATCCCGCCCCCCTCCGAAAAAAAAGGCAGGCTGGCTTTCTTTCTTAAATCATATCAGAACTGTTTTTAATATGTGTAGTAAACCCTGTCCTGTTCTGGAGCTTAGAACAGACTCAAACCCTAAGACGGCATTGTCTTAGAAAGTTCATATACTAAACGAATTTAAGAACATGGAAAGCTGTGAGATGCCTGTCTCCCTTCAGTAAATAAGATGCACCCCAGATGCCTTTTACACTCTCCCCGGGGCTGGTACCTTATTAATAAGTTCTGAACCTTCCTGTGCTGTTCATACTTTTTTCAAGTCATCTGTTTCCTCTCCTGACATTGGTGGCTTCATTCCAGGGCCACTCCCCTTGGGGAGAGGAAGCCAGCATACCCAGATCCTCCTAGCTTCACCCTTGCCTGCAGGCACCTTCAGATTTCGCCGGTTTCCTGTTCAACTCATCAGGTTTTAATTATGTGAACTAATATTTGCTCACTATTAAACCAAGTTTACCCTTGTAAAAGGCAAACACCTAAAGACCAGAAAAATCTAACCGTTTATTATGCAATCATGCTCATGTTTCCTGCTACCTCGAATTTCCCTCCTGCTCTATCATTCTGGGTATTCTGCTTTGCAGACACCTCCCTCCTGGTCTTCTCATCATGGAGGCCACAGTTCTTTCTTTTCCATGTCCACCTATGCCTGGCAGAGTCAGGACTAACTCTCCGCCTGCTGATCCCACCCCTCACCTTCTGTGCAGAAATGGCCTCCACTAGCTCCCTAGTAAGGACTAACGTAACAACTTTCTGGAGCTGTGGTGGTGCTTCCCTTTCTGCGGCTTCTGAGTCATATTTCTGGATCAGAAATTGAGGGCTGTCTGAGCAGAATCTGAGCTGTATTGTTTCTCAATTCTTGTCAAGCAGATCACAGTTTCTTCCTCTGCCAAGTTTCTCCCTCATGATTCTGACATGTTTGTCCCAAAACACACTCATATCTCATAACCAAAAGAGCCTGAGGGGGAAAAACACTAGAACTCAAGTTATACAAAGATAGAAGCTTGCAGGGTGCAGTGGTGAACACATGTAATCCCAGCAGCTTGGAAGCCTGAGGCAGGAGGATGGCAAGTTCAAAGCCAGCCTCAGCAACTCAGCGAGACGCTGTTTCTAAATAAAATATGAAAAAGGGCTGGGGATGTGGTTCAGTGGTTAAGCACCTCTGGGTTCAATCCCTGATAATAACAACAACAACAAAAACAACGGAAGCTCATTGCAGACTTTGTTCATTTGATAGTGACCCAGAAGTTCCTAGTCCATTACTTTCAGTGGTTGTTAGAGTACAATGTACTCAATTTGAAATTGAAGCCTCCCCCCCCACCCCCACCCCCACCCCCACCCCCACCCCAGCAGGCTGCTCAGATTGGGAGGTACCTTAGGAAAGGCAGAAAAAAATCAAGCCACAGTCTGTCAACCAACAGGAAGTGAGCCATTTTATCCACAGGCCAGACAGAAGGAGGAGCCCAGAAGCACCCTTTCTTCTATGATAGGGTACAATTACCAGAAATCTGAACCACACCAGAAGTTCTTAGTGCAGTGGATACTTTAAGAAAAAACATACATGCTTCCTCTGCTGGAAACTCAGTCCGTGTCTGTGGCAGAATGAAAGGCTTTGGCTTTGAGTTCACATCACGCAGATATAAATAACTGCCTCTGATGACTTCAGACTTGACTTCCTCAAAGCTTTGGTCTTCACTTCCTCCAGTGCATGCATATACACCTGTTCCTCCAAAAAATGGCACCCTGGCTTCTAAGTAAATTATCCTCAGTTATTTCAGGACTCTGAGGTAGAGTCCTAAAGGAAGGCAAAATCACTCAACAGATCAGCTGCACTTTTACATAAAATTCTCCATTACACTTCTCCAAAAATAGTAAACCACAAATTCAAATATGTAATTCTTGAAATGAAAGAAAATCTGCCATACACTGTGATCTTTAATCACAGCCTCCCTGCAGGTATAAACAGTTCAGCTATACAACATGTCTATGCAGACATGCCTGTGTGCTGCGCATGCGCACATGTGGGGACATGCCACACACACACACACACACACACACACACACACACAAGCATGGACACTCTCAGTGTCATGTATAACAAACAGTAGAGAATATCATGCTTTCAGAACAAGTATCAGCACCCAAATTCTTAAAATGTGAAGCTAAGCATGCAAGAAACAAAATTTGTGATTTCAGGCCACTTTGATTCTATTTCTGGAGCTCAGCCAACAGAGAAATCTCCAAGAAAAGCAGTCAGACAGTTGTACAAGCTGTTTGTCAAGCTAAGGGGGACGTTTCTTCTCATCTGAGGCGCTCAAACTCTCGTCCCACAACTGGGTAACTAAAATAACAAGAAATCAGCCTTTGTCAAAAGTGTACACAGAAGGGGAGGTGTGGGAGGGATAAAACCACCCCCCACTGTGAGCAACCAGAGGGGAGCACAACCAAACAATGACAGGCTGAGCACTGCCAGTCAACAGGCGACAAGGCGTGTCCGTTTCTGACAAAGGGGGAGAATGGACTGGGTTCAAACACACTTCTTCCTTTTGTGACCCAGACACCAGTCACCCAGGCTGCCAAGAAAATCTCTCTCCTCGAGTGGGCAGCCTTGCCTGAAGAAGCTGTGTCTGTAAGCAATGTGGACCCAGAAGATTTGTAAAAGTTCATACTGGACTTTTGTCTGTCCTGGAAATGGGATCAGAGCTCATAGTCCATTTCAGGGCCTTCTGCTCAGATTGGGAGCAGCTGGAGCCTTGGGAAGGAAAAAACCACTGTGGTCCACTGCAGCAAGATCCTTGTGAGTCATGCTACCCTGAGGCTCCCAGAACGGAGTCTCTTACTTGGACACATAAGTCCATAGAACTGCAATTTAAATTCTATAAGTACAGAGTAAATAATAAGTACCATTTAGCATTTAAATGTGTAGCATTAGAGGTGGCAACTACCAACATAGAGCATTGCCTCACTTAGAATCTAGCTCAAGCTTCACTCAGGGGATAATATTCTGAAGTAAAAATAAATAAATAAACTTAAAATGTTTTGACAGTTTCTTTACTCTTTGATGTTATTGTCTATTTTAAGATATTTTTAAAATAAATATTAAAAGATCTAGGCAGTGCTGGATGCAATAGCATATGTAATTCCAGCAACTCAGGAGGCTAAAGCAAAAGATTGCAAGTTCAAGTCCAGCCTCAGCAATTTAGTGAGGCCCTAAGCAATTTGGGAAGACCCTGTCTAAAAAAAATAAAATAAAAATAAAGGCTGTGGATGTAGCTTAGTGGTAAAATGCCCTTGAGTTCAATCAGCAGTACCAAAAAAAAAAAAAAAAATCTTCCAGCAAATAGCTGAATTTTATTCATCACCTGGCTATTAGATAATTAGCCTCTACCTTACACCCTCACAAATGAAGTCCAGACTGATTAGAATGTGAAAATCAAAATAAAATGCAACTT